AATTTTAATCATTGTACCAAACATTAAGAATCTCAAATTAATATTTTAACTTTAGAGAAATAAAATCGAAACGAAATCTGTCCAATCTGAACAATCTGAAGTAAGTTCAAAAATTATCTGATAAACTTCTAAAAATCTCATTTTAAATTTTCTTCATTTACTCAAGTTATCACAAAGATTTTCATGTTTTGAAACCACACTTCTCTCATAGCGATTCCTTAGTTTTTGATAAAAAAAAATTTCGTTTTTCCTCGTTTAAATATTAATTTGAGACCTTCAATATATAAATTGTCTTTCATTTTTTATAAGGATTCTAAAAAAGTATAACTTAGATGATAGTTAAGGAACAACCTGTATAGGCAAATGATCATGTCTGGTTCTAAATCAAATAAAATTGTGTTGATAAATGTTTGAAATAAGTTTGTACAATACAAAATACTAGCATTTTTTATCTATATTTAATCAGTATTTTATTTCCTATCACTTTTTGCAACCGTCTCTTACTGTTTTACACAAGAATTATTTCTAGAAAAGAAGGTTGTTTCTTGAAAGGAAAGTTATTTAATGAAGGGAAATTTGTACACTAACTTGCCCAAATGCAAAAAATTAGGTCGGTAATTTAATTTAGCATTTTATAACTTTGTATTAGCTTATAGTTTAGAACTTAGTTACAGTTACATTAGTATGCAGACAATTTTATGTAAATATCTATTTATAAAATATTATACTATAACCATTTTAAATTTTTTGTTTTCTGCATTCTATGGATTAGTGGGACAATGACTTGCAATTATTTTTTTTAACAAAGTGAATAGGAGTCATTAGTATTTATTATTTTGATGTTCTTGGACACCAACGCATATTTCACCATTGAGTTACTTTATTTTTTAGTTTCAGTATCACCTTGTCACATATGCTTTCATTTATATCCATATCATAATATTGCAAGTGAATAAATTCACATTCCTTGAGCAAGCAATGTAACTATCGCCGAAATTGAGATTATATCAGAAACCTCTTTCTCTATCATATACCGCTGATTGTATCATAAGTTTTCAAACAGAAGAACACTTAGAATAACAGTTCTTCTCTTACATAGTAAGTACAATGGACATTTTATGAACCGCATTTACAACAAAAAAAACAGAGTGAGATATTAAAAAGTAAAAATAATAATCATTTTACAACTAATAAATCCAAAACTATCTATCTTAACAAGGATACTAAATACCACCTGTAATTACATTTAAATAATAACAGTCTCAAGAATTTTTAGTAATAAAATATATTGTTGGTATTAAAGAGATTGAAATTTTATCAAAAGATTTCGTTTTTAATGCAGTCATTAAAATAAGTTTACCTTTAAAATTTCATTTATGCTTGAAAACTTTAGTGCATGAAAACCATTGCGATTTCCCAGAAGATTCTCCTATTATTATTCAGTCGTAAAAATATTTGTAAATTAAAATTAAAAGTTCAAATTAAATATTTTAATAAAAATTACTTCATCATATTAATTAAATTTCGGTGATCCAAATTACGAGGAAGAAATGAAATTCGAGAATATGGAATATTTTCTCACAATTTTGAAATTTGATTCCTTCTTCGCAAATCTTTTTCTTTTATAAATTATACGTACAAATATTTTTTTTAAAAAAAATTATGCTGAAAAATACTTTTGTTCATAAAAATAAAATTTATTATTCATACTGTGATGAAGTTATAGCAAATACTGGAAAAATGTATGTACTAAACATTCAAAAAAATATGAACAACTCTTCTAAGCATTTGCTCACGCAATATGCAAATTTGATCTTATTTGATGTGCAAACATACGTGAGAAAAATTCATTTACAACAAAGTCGACTGTTGAAATTACCATATGAATAATCTCATCTTTAGATTCGAGCCAAAAAAGAGGCTTTTGTGCCTTTAAATGAATTTGCCTTCGCTTTAAGAATTATTTAAGTAAAATACTACAGATGACTTTCACTTTAGCTTTAAATAAAATCTATAACATTTAGTTCTTAAACTACCATCGTTTCGTGGAAACTGCTTTATGGCAATGAATATTTTTTGAGAAAAATAATTTTTGCAAATACTTGCAATAAGAATTTTTGTCATTACAAATTAACAAAAATCTAAAACTAATCTTTTTTTTCTTCAATTTTTTTATACTACAAGGGGAAGTTATACGACTTACTTTAAAATAAAAAAGTTTATTTGACCCAATTCATATTCCAGAAAAAATAACATGAATAAAATTCTTGTAAAATTCCGTTCATCAAAGCGATAACTTCTTCTTCTTCGGTGCAACAGCTTAGAACGAGCCAAGGCCGTGCCAATCAGCTTCCGCTATCGCTATATATCCAAAGGCACTGTGCTCCATTTTCTGACACCTACCACGCCAAGATCTACATTGTTATGCCACCCGATGGCTGGGCGACTTCTTTTCTTGGTTCTAGATAGTTCGCCAAGAATCAGTTCCCTTTTAGGATCAGGGTCTTGTAATTTTTGCAAGTATCCAAGCTATTTTACACGCTATGCTTTAATGATTTGGCTGATGTTGGGTTCTTTAAATTTGTTATA